TTTTTTTTTAAAACATTTTATTAGGGGCTCATACAACTCCAAGCTGTACCCTTTTGAAGTACACATTTTGCTCTGCTTTCACACAGGTATTCACCCCTGAAACTCACCACAACCAAGACATCGCATCTAGCACCCTCTTCCGTGCTCCCCCAGGGAACCACTCATCTGCTTTCTATCACTATAAGGGAATATTTTCTAGAATTTTACATAAATTCTAGAATTGGAATCATACAGTTTATTTTTTTTGATCTGGCATCTTCCTACCATTTTAATTTTATTTTTATGGTGATTCATCCATACTGTTCTGTTTATCAGTAGTTCATTCCTTTTCATTACTGAGCATAGAGACTTTTCATTTCACACACACACACACACACACACACAAATAGATTTGTTTATTCATTCGCCTATTGATGATATTGGGAATGTACTTGGGAAATAAATGGTCACCCTGGGAATATTTTCTTTAATTAGCTCTTTTCCAACCAAGAGTGTGAGCAAAGAACACAAAAGATCATCGGTGAAAAAAAAGATCATCGACTTGGCCCTACATCGAGTTTGAGTGAATTGTACTCTCTCCTGATTTGCAGGCTTTGGTGTTAAGATGCTGAGTACTGCCAACATGAGGAGCAGTCAGTACATTCCAATGCACAGCAAGCAGATCCGCGCACTGGCTTTCAGCAGTCGGTCCAAAGACTTGCTGCTCTCTGGTTCCCTGGACAGCACTCTTAAACTGACGAGGTGAGTGCTTCAGAGAGGGAGAGGAGCCTGTGCTGCATGAAGTTGAGCAGCCTGGAATAAGGACCCATGGGGGGTGATGTGATGGCCGAAATCTTAGCTCTCTCTTATCATCTGAGGTATTCTCTTCTGAGATCCAGGTTCACTTCATTCAAAACACGGCTTTGAGAAGTGGTCACAGCAGGCTACAAAGTAGCATGTGTAGTGTTCTATATCCATAAAAACAAATATTCTAAAATAGATCACAGCCATTTAGATGAAGGCAACACCCTAGGATGGTGGAGTGACCACATGTCGGCGACCTTGCTACCTGATACCACAGAGTTGTGCCAGCTCAGGACTGCCTATTCCTTGCTCTCAACCCTGGTAATTCTGTCTGAAAAAAATGTCACCGGGCACCTGCTCTTGTTGGGCTCCAGGAATGGCTTCTCTTACTTGTACCCTTAATTAGTTTGGGCATTTTCCATATATTCCCTAGTATGATTCACATCTCTGACTTTTTCTTTATCTTCTAATTGTGAAAACACACCAAAAATTCTGCCAACACAACTTCATTGAATCCTTATAACTCAACGATACTGATTATATTTTATATGTTGTAAAATTACCATTATTGCTGTCCTTATCCAAAGCTTTCCATCACCTTTAACCTAAACTCAGTACTACCTCCCACCTCAAAATTCCTTTCTTTCCCTCTTCCTGACATCTTCGCTTTTTACATGTTTGCAAACTTTTGAGATCATAACATCTTTATTCTACAGTGACTGACTTATTTCATTCAGTGTAATGTAATCAAGGTTTATCCATGTTACTGCATCCATCAGAACATTATGTCTCTTTATACCTACACGATTGACCATCATGTGGATATACGGATATACAAGGGAATTCAAAAAGTTTATGGACAGATGTGATTAAATGATGCTAGAATTTTTTCACTAATCTTTTGAAGACCCTCTCGGCCCTGTTTTGTTTATGCTTTCATTGTTTGTTTTCACCTTTTGGCTATCGTGAAAAGGACCTTATTGAACATTGGTTTACAGGCTTTTAATTTTTCAGGGAGTGGAACGAGTATGTTAATCAACTTCCTATCTAATTTCTGCAGCTACATATAAGGAAATCCTCCCAGCCTTATCAGTTTGAATAAGCCTTCAGTATAACTTTGTTTTTTTATGTATGTATGTTTCAAATAACATTCATAGGACTGAAAAATAAGATTCAATATTAAAATGTTACTAGTCACTACCACTTCATGATTGCATTATAATTTATCTTTTTCTTGTGTATACTTCCAATATTCATAAGTGTATGATTACTGATTATCATGTAATAGGAAGTAGGGTGGGCTAGTGAGCATTCTATCTGTACATCTCTCTTCCTTTACCTTCCTAACAACTCGAGGAAACTGTGTGTTCCTCAAAACACAACTGTTTTAAAATTTAAAAAAATGATCTGGGTGCAGTTCCTGGAGAAAATTGAATGTATAGGTGTGTTCTTAGTAGATTTATTGATCATTCAAATGGCAGTCTTTACATCTTTGTCAGCTATGTGATGTTCTTACTGCATGGTTGTGAAAGTCTCTTGTCATGACACAGCCTGGAGACCAATACTGTGGTCCAAACCTACAATGCTGGACGTCCTGTCTGGAGCTGCTGCTGGTGTCTTGATGACCACAATTACATTTATGCTGGCCTGGCCAACGGCTCGATTCTCATCTATGACCTACGGAACACAGTCTCCCACATCCAGGAGCTGGTGCCTCAGAAAGTCAGGTGGGAAGCCACGTGCCTCCTCCGTGAGGTAGCAGTCCCCCTGGACTGTTATCGTCTTGGTGCTCTCGGCAAAGGGTTTCTCACAGTTGGTCAGAAATACTCAAGGAGAGCCGTTTCGCTGAGATTGCCCAACCTTGTCTCACTTGAGAATGATGAAAATCCCTACAGTTTGTGTTTGTGACACTTCAGTGGGTGGAAAGCCCTGGGCTTTAGTAAAGCCAGGCTATGGCGTCCCTCGTAACCCAATGTGGTAAATGCAATTCCATCCTTGTTCAAATCCCAGCTCTATCTACAAGCCGGTCATATTTCTTGGCCTTTTGTGAGCCTTGTCTATAAAATGTGTTAGCAGAACCAGCCACACAGACTTGCTTTTAAAAACCACATGTCCAGCATACAATAAGAGATAGCTTAAAGATAGTTTGATTAAAAGTGACTTTTAAATTTTCCCTAAAAAGCAGCGGCGAGGCCAGGGATGCCTCTCCTGCCAAAAAAAGAGTCTCCTTCGCGCCCCTTTCCCCCTCTGTCTAGTGAATTGTGTTTCCATGTTCACCTC